ACCACCCACAGCCAACTCTTGGGCTACTCTTTTACCAACGAATAGTGAGATTGAACGTTACATTATAACGTCCCCACGGTTGAAAGGGCGAGCATGTTTGGTGGGATGGGGATTCGAACGAGCGCCCTAACCACTTGGCCATGCCGGGCCAGAGACGTGTTATAAAATTATTATTACTATTATTTATTGTTTCAGAAAATTTAAAAATTGCTAGTGTTTATCAGAATACTAATTAATCTTGCGTCTCTGAGGAGGACAGGTTGATCACTTTTCTATGATAAAACACAGGTAAGATCCTCTGCCCCTCCCTCTCCCATCCGAAGCAGTGTTCCTTTTATCGTTTACACATTATAAGATAAACAAATCTTTTTAAATATAGCAAATGTATCTAGTTGCGACCCCCATATTCGTCTTTTGTGGCGTCCGTTTGTAGGATTGGAAATATGTGTGCGCAAAAGTGGCGTCCGTTTGTAGGATTGGAAAATTGTGTGCGCAAAAGTTTCTCCACGATATTTTTTTTTATCTTACGCAAACACAAAGAAAGCTGTTGTTTGTTACAGAATTTTGGCACAAAAGTCGATCCACACAAATCCATTTATAATTCTTATCTGAAAGTCTATAGGGAAGTCAACTCATCAACAACACCCACTGTCATCTATTAGGATCCTCTTGTCTGACCGGATAATGGGATTGGACCGTCTATATTATGCAGCAGCTACGGCCCCAAAGTACGGAGCGTGTTTGTGCGGAAACGGGCCACGAACTACTGACACGTTAATGTATAAGGTACGCGTAGCCCCACAAAAAGCCCTAATATGCATAAATAAATAGGTTACTCCGGCTTTACTTAAGGTAAGGGGAGGAGAATGTAAGGTTTATAAAAATGTATATTTTAATGCAATTTTCACTATATATATGTATCATATAAAACCCGCGTATAGAAGGCAATAAATCTGTATCAGTGTATTAAAAATGAAACAACGTAAGGAGCTTTCTTAATCAATCGGCTGTTGCACCAAAAGACTGACATGCTTAATAACGCTAAAAATAATGTTATGCTAATTATGAATGCAACCTCGTAAGTATTAAAAATAAATGGTCTGTTAGGCATACAGATTTTTATTGGCCAACGATAACTTGATTCCTGACATATCTTAACCATAATGTGTGCCATCCGGGCGTAAAAAATCGTACCACTGTTAAAAGTGTTAGTTTATCTTTTACTGTCTGGTTTCACATGTCTTTGCTGCCTTGACTTCAATTCCTAAAACCATTATTCAAAATTAATTGTACTTCAAACAGTTTCCTTAATTTCCTGATGCTTCTTCTATGATAACGGCAACAGGGCATTTCCTCTCACATTCTAATCGATATAATTTCTTTGGACTCGAGCTTATCGGAGTAATGGAAAAGTCCGCTGCGCCTTCTATTCCCTTCTCTACGTGTGTTGCCATGGTTACTGACATATCAGTCAAGTTATAGCTTCTTGATTGTTAGTATGGGATGATGGTCATGCGTAGTGAAAGATCACTTAAATGTTAGACTGATAGATGGTAGTATAAAAAAATCACATATCTCCAAACATGAGTTTATTTTAAATTGATGATTTGTGTTTATGGGTTGAAGTATTTTATTTTTCTTGTGAGAGTACTTATAGATTTTCTTAAGTATCTGAACTGTTTGATTTTAACCTAAAAGCTTGAATTACTTAGTTAAAAGAAAATTTTAACGGCAGATAATTTCCCAATGTATGTTAAAAAGTTTTATCTCTTGCGGCAGAAATTTCCTAGTTATTATCGCATGTTGAATATAAATACAAAAATGAATCACAATTACTGTATCGAATCACGACATATCAAGATAACAACCTAATTGGGAGATTCTGTTTATTGGAAACTACAGACGGTGGATTACTTTGTTATTAGTAAGTGATCGAGTTAAATTATGGAAATTATCAGAAACATTAAACCAGTTTTGGAACTTAATCCAGATAATGGGAATATCAGCATCATACAGCCAGTTAACTACGGTGGCTAAGAAAGCAGTTAACTATGTATGTAGGATTATAAATATTTCCCTTCGTTTTTTTCCTCCAGTTGCCAATATTCTTCTTCTTGAATATCAGCATCATACAGCCAGTTAACTACGGTGGCTAAGAAAGCAGTTAACTATGTATGTAGGATTAGAATATTTCCCTTCGTTTTTTTTCCTCCAGTTGCCAATATTCTTCTTCTTGAATATCAGCATCATACAGCCAGTTAACTACGGTGGCTAAGAAAGCAGTTAGCTATGTATGTAGGATTAAAATATTTCCCTTCGTTTTTTCCTCCAGTTGCCAATATTCTTCTTCTTCCACTGAGATATAACTAACGTGTTGGTTCAACATTTCAGCTATTACAAAATCTTATTCCAAACTTAGTTTTTACCAGTTCAAACACTCGATTTCTCTCCACCATTTCAGTTAGTTCAAACATGTAATTTCCACGTATCGTTTCAATTAGTTCAGTTGCTCGATTTCTCTCCATCATTTCAGTTAGTTCAAACACGTAATTTCCACGTATCGTTTCAATTAGTTCAGTTGCTCGATTTCTCTCCATCATTTCAGTTAGTTCAAACATGTAATTTCCACGTATCGTTTCAATTAGTTCAGTTGCTCGATTTCTCTCCATCATTTCAGTTAGTTCAAACACGTAATTTCCACGTATCGTTTCAATTAGTTCAGTTGCTCGATTTCTCTCCATATTTCAGTTAGTTCAAACATGTAATTTCCACGTATCATTTCAATTAGTTCAGTTGCTCAATTTCTTTCCATAATTTCAATCAGTACAAACACTCGATTTCTTTCATCATTTCCATTAGTTCAAAAATGTACTCTCTACACCTTATTTCAGTTAGTTCAAATATTTACTCTTTGTTCATAATGTAGCGAGTGTATCAAGAAGGATTAAACCAGGAGCGCCGTGTCCAATTACACAGAATACGTATTTGCATATAGTTCAATGTTGCAAAATAATAATAATAATAAATATATTTGAAAAACAGTAAGAAAAAGGTATAAACTGATGGTCACCAGACTTCCTTTTTAATAAAATTCAAGATCATTAAAGCATAAACTCCATGCAAACCCCTTGTTTGTGTATTTATTTTAACACTGCTGGATATCGAACTTTTAATTGGATTTGTTAGGACTGAAAAATTACTCGTATTTTTATTGAGAAAAAAATTACTAAAGTTTGACTTCTTTCAAGTATTAAACAGGTAATTTATTACAAATTATTTACGATTAGAATTAGTGTTCTTTTAGCCAATCAAGCCATATAACTTGTTTACATTCCGGTAAAAAGATCTCAGAGAGATCTATACATTGACTTGAAAGCTACGTCAAAACAGAAATATTCGCTTACTAAATTGTGGTCCCCGAGGACAGCGATAAGTTTACGGACTTACAAAGCTAAAATCCGGGGTCCGATTTCCTGCAGAGGATACAGCAGATAGCCAGTTGTGGCTTTGATTTATAATAAAGAAATAATAAATTGTGCGAACTTATCTCGTTTTCTCACAGATTATCCAATAACTCCTTATAAGGTCGCTATTCTACAATCTGTTCAAGTCTGACTTTTTATCAAGGTGACTTACTCCCTTAAACTCCGGTTATATCATATTGTATCTTTTCTTCTGAAGTATCCTTTGTGTGAATTTCTATGACATTTCTGATTGAACTAGCATTGTTCTTGCATGTCAGAAAACCAAGGTATAATTAATATTTAACGCCGTGGTCTCAGCGATAAGTTTGAGGCCTATAATGCTAAAAATCGGATTTCAATACCTACAGTGGGCAGGGCACAAATATCAAATTGTATAGAAAATTTGCTCTTAACAACAAACAAAGAAACAACACAATCCAAAATGACACCAATTGGTCAACCTTGTTGCTGTTAAGAGTAAGCAATAGACATTTGTATATATATACAAAGTAACATAATATCTTCGCAAACTTGACACACACAGAAAAAAAAAAACAAAAAAAAACAATAACATGCTAATGCACAGCAATATTGAAAATTATTATTTAACACCATTGATACATTTAAAAACCTTGATAAATTAACATTAATTCCATACGATTTCGATTACCTATAAGAGGTTGAAGATCAAGAAATGTTTCTCCTTCTCTGTCCTATTTTTTACCCACGAATAACTGAAGCTATTATGTTTGTTTCTTTTCAGGAACAGTATAAAGAATCCATAAGCTACGAAACGAATTTTTGTACAGAGAAGACATATTCACCAATTTATCAAACGAACAAGTAAAACGCCACCTGTTGGCCAGATTGAAGAATTATGAACGAGGCCGAGCGAGAAGAAAATCGGGGAGCCTACTTCATGGATGACATGGACAGTAAAAAGGATACAGACGAAGAGCCCACTGAGGATGCTCCTCTAAGAGGACACGATGGTGCGATGGCCGTTGTCGTCAGCAACAAAGAGAACGAAAGTGGCGCTGCCAATGGAACCTCCGGGAAAGAAGTAAGGGCTAAGGGTTTACGGGCATGGTTAGCTAAGCCTCGTGTCAAGTGGTGGATTGCTGTATTAGTCGCAATCATACTGGTATCGATAATTCTCGTGACAACATTGCTGGCGATGGAAGACACTCCCCAATACTACGTAGACACCACTCCTCGACTGATGAAAGTATTTCCTATCCCCAAAGGTCGCAACAAGTTGATTTATTTTCGCCATGGAAGTCTACCTCACGAGGGCAAATATTGGCCTGATCTGACCCGTCAGTTATCTCAGCTAGTGTCTGGGTACGACCCAAGACAACTCAACTATAAAAATGTTACTGAGTGCTACGGAGAACCACCACCTGAGGGATACGCCTGTATCTTTGACATCCGTCAGATTTCACCCGAATGCATCGAAGCCAACGAATTTGGATACAAAGGTGGCACCCCTTGCATTTTCCTTCAGTTTCCAAACGTCAGCAACTGGGAGCCTAACACCTATACCACTCATGACTTGGAAACTATGAAACACCTTCCGGAAAAATTGCGCTACGACTACCAACCCAATTATGCTTACATAGGTTGTGAGGGAGACAACATTGTCGACAAAGAAAACATGGGTCCTTTACTCTACTCACCGGAACAAGGATTTCCAATGAATTTTTTCCCCTTTACTGGTCATCCCGACTACATGCCTCCTATAGTTGTTTTGCGCTTTCAGAAGCCGAAAATTGGAGTTGCTATAAATGTAATTTGTAAACTGTGGGCGAAGAATGTTAATCATACAGAAAACTCGGTTCCCAACGGGACTGTTCGTTTTACCCTTCTTGTGGATTAGTGCGACTAAAAGTTCACAGAACTAAGTCAAACACCAGGATCTTCGGGGAAAGAAAGAGTTTTGAAAAGAAAAAAATTGAAATTAATCTGTAGTTGTTTGTGCCAAAACTTTTATTTATATAATTTTGCCTCGAAATTTAACTACAAGAAATATGTATGAACCACACTTACCCAATTTGAATGACTTTTTTCCCCTATTTATGCTTTGGGTAAAGTAAATAATTGGAGTTCGTTGGAGCAACCGCATACATGATAAGTACATTTTATCTTTACTTCACAGAATAAAAAAACAAAAAAAAAACGTAAATATGGATAAACTTAGTATACTTTTCCATTACATGACGGAATATATAGAACGAAAAGCATGGGTAGATTTGTAACAGGGAGTATATTATGATAAAAAATATACACCATTCAAGTAAGACACTGACACTCTAGTAACTGAAACTTAAATATGACGATTTCTTTTGAAATTACGTTTGAAAAAGTGTATCTATTAATATTAAAATTCTTCATTTTAGGAAGAGAATGAAATAGTAAAACATAATAAGTTAAAAAATGTATACTTTCAGTAGTAGGACAAAACGAGGTGTTTTTGGGAAGTCAGAAGGCATATGAGTGTATTTCCTTTGGCAAAAATTACAATACAAGTAAAAAAGGAAGAAAGATACCTTCACCTTCATAGAGTAGTCAGTTTAACACAATTAAATAGTTTTCATGCTTACCGTTTCACATGAAGGACCTTTCTTAAAAGAACAACAATAACAGCAAAATTAAACCTTTTTACAAAATATAAAAATAGTTTTCTCCCCAAATTAAAAATACGTCAATATACACATGTAAACAAAAGTATCTACGTATTTTATTAACATCATGACGTTTTGTCTATAGTTACATAAAAATATTTTATTATATAATAAAAACGTTATCCTTCACATATACATGTAAGTTAAAACATATACAGTTTGGATATAAAAAAATATTTTTTTATAAATATGGATGTAACCTTGACGTTCATCAAATAAACAGTATTATCCACTGTAAATTCAACAAGCTGTTAAAACTGAGATTCACATTTCGAAAGAAAACTCGAAAATTAGTTCTACGAATGGTGTCAGTAGACACGAGCTGTAATTATTCCGGGTTGTTGTACAAACAACGTGGTTAACTTATAGTGTTTTGGCACTTGTGTAT